ATCTGTGTTTGATCTTTCTGTCATGTAGCGTGCCTAGGCCTTGCTTACTAAGCCTCACCTGACATGAACTGAGTACCTGTGGCATATCTCACACAAGCTATGATTTTTCCACATTATGACTTCTAATTGTCCTCTCTCTTAGCTTCCAGTTAAATTTAGCACATGACATTTCCTCATCTGAAAGCCTTCAACATATGGAAGATAGTGAGGATGTGCTCATGTGCTCTCAGGGGTCCTAAATGGCAGACAATATTGTTCTAAGACCTCTCTGGTTCCACTGCTGAGAGGCAAAAACCAAGATTTATAAAGGGTGCTATGTCTGTCAAGTACTTTTGGAGTACATTATCTTCCAATAAGCCTGTGAGATAGGTTAACGGTTGTTTCCATTTGCTTATAGATGAGACAACTTGAGGTTAAGTAACTTTCTGAAGATCACAAACCCAACTTCAGGCCCCTTAAGTTTTCTGCTGAACCAGTAACCTCCCTTGATTACATCATCTCTTAGTTCATTACCCCCCAAAATGGGAGATCAAAGCAGCACCGATGGCTCATGAACTCATTATTTCCTAGAGATCTTTAAATGGAAGAGGTCACAGGAGGACAGTATGACTTAGCCCTCGGAGTGAAAGTTCTGAGTTGCCATTTTCTTGGGAAAGAATGAGAAAGAGAACAAGTGGAGTGGCTGGCTGTGTAAACAGAAACCTATCAATTCTTTCAGGCTGATTAGTATAGCTTAGATAATTTCCCTGCCCTTCTTATCCCAAAGAAACCCCTGGGGAAGTGCCAGGTAACTGGGCCACTGGGCACCCATTTAATTTTACTTATCTTAGAAAAATGGAGAAAGTGTAGGTTATCTTACAGTCCACAAGAGAAATGCCTGATTGACCTTTGAGTAGCCCAATCTGGGCTTATTTTTATTTTGGAGATAGAGTTTAAAACCTGAAACTGTTCTGGAAATTTCTCCCCACAAATTCTAACTCAAGGGTATTTTTTTTGTTATGCTTTTCCAGGTCTTCTTTCCGATATACGTTCTCTTTGAGTGCTTACCCTTTCTGTTGTTTAATTTCCCCACATTTGATCTCTTTTTATGACTACTATTTACCGACTGCTTACTATGTGCCAGCTACTGTTCAGTTGCTGTATTCATATTAACTCACTTAATTCTCCCTACAAATCCATGACATAGGTGTCATATTAAGGTACCATGTTATTCTCCTGTTGCAGATGAGATCATTGAGGAATTGAGAGGTAGGGTAATTTATCCAGAGACACAAACTTCTAAGTGGCAGGATATGAACTTAGGCTGGTGGACCCCAGACTCTGTGCTCTTAGCCACCTTCAGAACTGCAGTTATTAAACAGGGTGTGAGGAAGGACTGGACTTAGTGTCCTAAGAGCAATCTATGGGAGTTCATTTTCCTTACTCCTGTGCTAAGCAGCATTTTCCATTCCCTTCGGACACTCTCTCATCTTGAACCTCTTTTGCATGCTAGATGTTGGGGCCGCAAGAGTTAAATTAGACATGGATTCTGCTCTCAAGAAGCTGCAGTCAATGCAGGAGATAAATTATGCAAATAGCTATAATACAAGTAGAAAGTGAGAAAGACAAAAAAGTTAAAAGCTATAGGGATTTCGAAGAGGCATTTCTTCCAGAGGAAGGAACTGGGGAAAAGTTTGTGGAGTTAGCCACATTTGAGCTGGCTTGAACTACAGCTTATCTCCCAAATCACCATATAATTAGGTAACAAATTGCATCATGAAAGCATCTTCGGAAATGCCTGTTTTGGGTTTTGGCCTTTGCCCTTTAAGAATCCCCTCCATATTTACTAAGCACACTAAGAAGTATGCTGAGCCTTGCTCAGCCTGGTTTCCCTGGCAGGGAGAGTGGGAATACAGGAGAGGCATTTTGCTAGCAGTGAGGCGTTGGGCTCTGTAGAATTTAGTTCTGGTGGCAATGCCCAGATTTCCCAGCTCAGTGTGCCCTGGCCACATCTACATCCATCTGCTCTAATGCCTAGTGAAAGCAAGTCTATGTTTGGTAGGATATAGGAGGCCCAACAAACTGAAGTTTTGAATTCAGTTTATAACTTAAAATTGTAGACGTCGTACTTTAGCCTTTGAAGCAGCCAAAAATGGTCTTCATTACAGAAAATGGTTTTTGACGTTACAAGATTTTCCCAAGATTTTTAATTGGGAAAAAGAAAAAATGAAGCAAATAGTCCAAAAATGGGTATGCACCACGAGGGGGAGCTTTTTTGAGACTGAGAGCTGCCACCTGTTGAGGTGGCTTAAGTCAGGATTTTGGCAGAAGCACATTATTGTGACAATCAATAAATGTTAGTGGAACTCAGTCTCCTCTACATACCCAGTTTAGGAATGTAGTCAGTAAGCCTTCCCACACTATGACTCAGCTGCGAAGATAGACAGAAGAAATGATTTAAAGACATTTGGAAGTTTTCTTCAAGATTGTTAACCCACAGCAAAACTGGTTGATATGTGGGATGGGAGCCAAACTTGATAACTTTTGTATTTTCTCCCCATTTTCACTGTAAAATATTTCATCTTAGAAGAAGCTTAGTCTGACATTTTCTAAGAAAAGAAAATCAACAGCATTGATAAATATATATGAATCTGTATCACTGGAGCCAGAAAAGCATAAAATAATCTTATCGGTAGGGGAGAAATGGAATTTCATGAGTGGTTATGTTGAAACATGCCTGCAGACTTAACTTACTTATGACTTATATGTGTCTTAAGGAAAATGTGAATTACAAAGAGAGGAGAGGGTCTGACTGACTTCTCAGATCTGCACTGACTTATGCCAAGCATAAAGCCTGAGTCCAGTCTTTATGCCTCAGATTTTCCATGGATGAAAATGCTACCATGAGTGTATCATAGACCTTCTAATATATTTTTATGTTATTCTTTAATTTTAAAACCTCTGAGAAAGTTCAACTTCAAAGACTATTAGAGGTTTTTTTTTTTTAAGACTTAAAGCAGAACTGATTCAAGCAGTGCAAGACATTGACAGATGTTACTGAAAGGGTTTTCAGACACTAAGTGCCTTGAATCTCCCTTCAAATTTTGTTTCATCTTTTAATAAATTATTGTTAGTTTAAATATTCCTTCCCGCCTCGAATTTTCTATGGTTCCCTGAACTCTGTCCATTTTCTAAGTAGAAAACAATGTTACCCTACTCCTTTTGACATAAGAATTCCTGTATCATTAAAACAGAATTCTTTATATTCTCGAAGATGCTTATAAAGGATGGATCAACCAACTAGTATTTATTGAGAACCTACTGCATCCTATATATGATGCTTGTGAAAGAGGGTATAAAAAGCTAGCAGAATTCCACACAATACCTCTGAGAGACTTACTGCATTCTCATTGAAAAAGCTGTTGAATCTCCAAGCTGAGATTTAAGACCAGTCATTCCAGTCCTTCAAAGTCAGATTCCCCTTGCACCACCACTGGGCATTCTCTCTATGCTTGATTATCTCCAATGACAGGGACCTCACTATCTCATGACAAGCTGCCCCTTCCAATTTTTGTCATCACTTAGTTGCTAAAGAAGACTGATCTCCATACGAAGTTAGCCACAATACAGGAGTAAATCAAATACTGTAACTGCTGAATCAATTGAAGAAGACAAATTCTGCATGAGGTCAGAGGAAAAAGGAATCACTGTTGGCTATTCTGGTCAGGAAAAGATCATGATTGAGGGTTAAATCACCAATATCTTTTAGTACTATTTTTTACTTCCGATGCTAAACTGCCTCTCATGGAAATTTTGCCTCTTTTATAACTTGCTAAAGAAAATAGTGGGCTGACTAGTTCTTTCCAGTCTTCCTTAGGGCTAAAATGATGGGAAACTGGCATAGTCAAGTGGGAGGGAGGCCCACTGGTTGTCTTACCTCTGGAGTCATCCTGATGGCATCAAGTGATCCAACAGCCCAGGTCCTTCCCTCAGTTCTGAAAGGAAAATGACATGTAGTCCAATGGACATCCATTTTTACATACAAATAAGCAACGCCTTATTAGTAAGCCACTAGTTACTAAAATCTAATATTAATGGTAAACTATCATTTACTGAAGTCTCTAATTTAGTACTTTAAGAATTTGAGCTGTTTTCCAATAAGGAAAAACCTCTAAAGTGACTAAGCACATGTTGATAATTTCTAATTTTTATAATTTGGGAGAGGGACTTTTGTTAAGTACAATATCTGGAATTGGTATATCTGGAATTGGTCATGGTTTCTAATTCCTATTCATCTTAGTATATTTTTACAACTGCAATTTTACTTTTGTGGATCATTTTGTTTTTGTATAACTGCTTGGTTGTAAACTTTTTCCTCATGGATTCTTCTTATCACTCAGTTCTTGTCTTTATTTAACTGAAAAGTGAGAATGAAAATTAATAACTACTAAGGTAAAGGGAAGAATTTCCAATGATTTCCAGGATTTTTCTAGCCCTAGAAATTTCAGATGAACATTTTGGTATCTCAGAACAATGCTAGAGGGTGGATATTATTTTCCCTGATTTAAAAAAGAAGAAACTAAGGCTCAGAAAGATGGAGTTGCTAAGGTCTGCCTGATTCCAAAGACCGTGGTCTTCCCACTACATTACCCCACAGTGTCTGCCATCTAATTCTCCCCTCTAGATTCTTTTCCTCCACTCATTTGGCTGAATATAACTTTAATAATTACTAACCATATGGGTAAAATCTCAGCGCTAATGTCAGGAATACCAAATTCCGCTAACAGGAATTTGTATACTACTAAGCTGTTAGGCTGGTGTGTGAATATCTTTTGTTTAAAAAAAAAAATGGATGTAATAGCTTTTTCTTCTTTTTTTTTTTTCAACAAGATGTAACACATCTATACTTCAGGGACTGACATGCATACTAAGCAAGCTGCTGTGGGTAAGATGGCTCTAGATGAATAAAGACTAAGAGAAAAAAAAGAAAAAAAAATCTTTGACTTTGAAATTTCTTGCAGACGTTCTGCAAAGGCTCACTGATCTTAGAACACTTGGATGTCTCTTATTGCTCCCAGCTGTCAAATGAGATTATTAAAGCACTGGCCATTTATTGCGTTTCCCTCACATCTCTCAGCATTGCTGGCTGTCCAAAGGTAAGTGCAGGAGTCAGAGCTCAGATGTGTCCAGTTGAAACACAGACAAGGAACCCAGGCAGGGTAGCAGTCAGGGGTCAGTGTCATCATAGAATTTGTTTTCTTTGCTATGCCTGAGGTATTCATTACATTTTTTTTCTCTTTCCTCAACTGGGAAATGGCTTTATGATTTCATTTGTGTTAAAGTAGAATTTTCAAAAAGTTAAAACAATTCCCATTCAAATATAAAAACGTGTCAAGATTTATGAATTCATTAATGAGAGGACCAGCAAAATGGTAAAACCAGATCATACAGCATTTGATCAAACTGGATATTTATAGGAACTGAAGAAAAAGAATGTTGGAATATGATTTTTAGGTTAGATCCAAAGGTGGTTAATGTTCTATAAGGTAATAAATCCATAACCTTGGATTTATAGTTTCTACCAGAAAGAAATGATTTTCATCTCCCCTGGACAAAAATATAACAAGTTATAACATGTAACTTCATTGACTTTAGGCCCTAACCGGTACTAATTAATATGCCAAACAAAGACATAATTCCTTATAGAATTCCTCTGGTGAGCCTGTTAAAGATGTTCCAGTATGACACTGAAAATACATGTAATCATCTTCATTCTTATTTCTAGTGTTTGATAATTTTTTTGACATCTGTTTATAAAAGAAATATGTACTTATTGTAAAATCTCTGGACTACATATAAAAACAAAAAGGAGAAACTAAAAATCTGTTGTCATACCACCATCCAGACATAACCAGTGTTGGCATTTTATACTTATCTTCTAGAACTGTTTCTATGTACACAGAGATTAGAAATAGTTATAGAAGGTTTGTTTTTGTCTTTTTTTTTTTTTTTTTTAAGAATAGAATCATACTTTCCAAAAGACATTGTAGCCTACTTTCTTTTTCTTTATACACTATGGACATATTTCCATGTCAAGAAATAGAGATCTCTGATTCTGGATTAATACGGTAGATTGAATATACACATAAAATTTGGTTCCCTCTTAAAACCTTATAGACCTACAGAAGAACTGTTGGTAGGGAAAACAGAAGAGACAAGATCAAGAAAGTTTTGGAAGCTTGAAACCAGATCGACCAATAGAATTTAGCAGACAGAGGCAGTTTTGAATCCTAAGCCAGCAACAGAGAAAACTGTGGGGGAAAAGATTGATTTATACCATGATCTTCAAACTTGGTGGCACTGTTTACCTTTGGAACTGGGTGGAGAGGGTGGCTAAAATAAGGAAGACTGGGTTAAGAGTTCTTGAGGAGTAGACAGATCCTAGATCTCCTCCTCTACCTCACACCTCTGGGCAACTACACTTCTCTACCTTCACCAAAAGACTGGATACTTATTTCCTAAATTTCCCAGATTTCTCAACCCTGGCATTATTGATATTTTGGATGAGATAATTCTTTTGTAGTGGGGGGTTATTCTGTACATGGCCCTGTAGAATGTTTAACAGCATTCTTTTTTTTAATATGAAATTTATTTTCAAATTGGTTTCCATCCAACACCCAGTGCTCGTCCCAAAAGGTGCCCCTCCTCAGTACCCATCACCCAGCCTCCCCTCCCTCCCATCCCCCATCAACCCTCAGTTTGTTCTCAGTTTTTAAGAGTCTCTTATGCTTTGGCTCTCTCAACAGCATTCTTATTCTCTACCCACTATATGCCAGTAGCACCATGTCCCCCCCACCCCCTTATTGTGACAATAAAAAAATGTCTCCAGATAATGCCAAATGTCCTCTGGGGGGCAAAATTGCTCTATTATTTGTTCTACCAATAGTAAAATAGTGGCTTGCTGGGCTGGAAGATACCATGCAAATTCAGAGTTTGAGTACAACAGTGAAAACAGGAATTCAGTGACTGAATGCCAAATGCAGAGACACTCAACAGCTATTCCAACATAGCATCCAGAATGTGGCTGCCAGACCTTTCCCTCCAGGCAGGAGACTGAAAGCCTGTTCTCTGGAGACTCTGACTAGCACAAGATGAAAGACAGAAAAATATTGACATTTGGAGGTTTACCAACTAATAATCCATAGAACCATTGAAGCTTTAGGTAGAGAAGGCCCACATCATACACTTAACCCTTCCAATCAGTGTGTAGCCCTTCTGCTATTAATAAATAGCAGACAGCCAAGGATTACCAGACATAATAGAAAAGCCTCTAAAGTGGAAGATAAAGACCAAAACAAATTAATAGGAAAAACTTGGGGGAAACAAAATATGCAGAGGGAAGAAAACTAAAAAGTCTTTTTAAAAAATCCTCAGAAACTATATGACCATTAACAACCTGTTGTCTTCTGTTGTGCACACTGATGGGCTTCTTTTTAGTAAAGCACCACCCGAAATCTCAAGATATCCTGCATTCTAGCTCGTCTAAAAAGTCAGCTTCTATGTGGTTAGTGGATTAACTGAAGGATGCTAGAAACTCCTAATTCCTCCATAGTTAACTGTGCTGTAGTAAGGAGGAGAAGGCAGTGGGGGGAAAGATGTGGTAAATCATGACAAAATTAATCTAGAAAGTTCACAACAAAATTCTTGTTTAATAATGTACTTGTTTAGAACTAGAGAAACCAAATGCCTTATTGGTCAGCATCATCTGGCTCTAGAAGTAGGTCAAGGAACTAAGCATACTTAGCCACACTGACCATGGACCCTCTGCAGCGTTCTTGTTTTCATTGCACACAGACACGTGGACACATGGGCAACACATGGCTCACTGTGAACTGCCCTGGCCACAAAGCAGATGCAGATGGGGGCTGGGCCTCTTAGTGGCTCTATTAATTAGAGGGGAAAGTAGGAGAATAAGAGAAGTAAAGACTCTGGTGAGAATAGGAATTGGGCAGAGGATTTTTTGTTTGTTTGTTTTGTTTTTGCTTTTTGGTAAGGAGAAGCTGAGGGAATTTCTTCTATACACTGTGCAGTGGATACTGTCTTGCAGCCTAGAAACTAAGGAGGATGTTACACAAATAAGATATTATAAAACAAATCACCCTATATCAAAGATCTAGCGTGAAAAAAAGGAAAGGGAGTAAATTATTCTAGAACCTCAATGTAAGAGAGAAGAAGGGTTTAGCTTTACTACCACTGTGAGTCAAATAAGTATCTTCATTCAGAAGATGTGGTGACCATAATTTGGGCCAATAGGAATACTCCTCATTGAGAAATCATAAAGCTATGGTCCAGTCTAATATATTCTACCTACATTGGTTTTTTAAATTAAATTCAATTAATTTTTAAATTCCAGTATAGTTGACATACAGTGTTATATTTCCACCTACATTGCTTTTGATGAGCTATAAAACACATTAGTGTCTGGCTCATCATCCTAGACTAGGTTTCTCAAAAGCCCATGGGTCAATCTTGCATGGTCACTTATCCATCTCCTGGAAGGCCAGCTTTTTCTTGCAACCAGCCAACCTCCAAGGTTGGTAAGTAGTACTGTGACCCCACCCTTCCCAGTGCTAAAATGGGAATAATAGAATCTCTGCTCAGTAGGACTGAGATCAGGACTGGGAGCTAAGAATTTACCCAGTCACCTCCACCTCTAGTTCCCAGCCCTATAAGTCCCAACAACATCTGTTCAGTCATTAAACATCTTGAGCTTCTGATCTACAGGAAATGTCAGGCTCCTTTTTCACTCCTTCAGAATCAATAAAACGTAGTGCTCTGAGCTCTACCTGTCCTGGACTTTTCTATCACCCCATTGTCTTGCCTATAATTCTGAGGGCTTTTTTTCCCCCCAATGACATCAGATCCTCAGAGACCAAGATAGTATGGCAGGAATGTATGGAGGTATTTTTGTGAGAATCAGGCACAATGTTAAACCTTGGTCCTGAACGTGTTCTGAAAACAGGTCATGCTTAGACAATGACAACATCTATTTTCCAAACTTGGAAAGTGTACATTTCAAACTGAAGAGTTTTCTACATAATTTCCTCAACTTTATATTAAGAACAAGAGCCAAGCCTCATGGCATGTGTTTTAGAATGTTCAAACATTTAAAATAAGAAATTAAATCCAGTTGGAAAAAAAATTCCTTTGAGGAAAGTAATCTCACTGATTTCACAGCAAGTCTTAGTACAGCTGTGAATTCAAAAGCTAGACCTTGAGTAAATAAAATAATCTAAGAATGAGAATTGAATTATCTCTGTATAACATCTGGGCAAACTCTCAAGATATTGGAACCCTCAGCAGAATTTCTCAGAGTCAGATTCATGCAGTGTCTGTGGCTTCTGCTCTTTCTTCCCCTGCCTACAAACATCTGTTTCATCTACTTGTCCTCTTCCAGAACCATTTTACTCTACACACAAACCAGCAGAGATGTCCAGATCCCTTCTCATGGCAATTTGACCTTGTCTGTGGTTTAACTTCAGGGAATATATATATTTTATAGCTTTGCAACATGTTATATTATTAAACTTAGTTTTCTAAGTTGATGATGCCTTAGAGTGGATTTCAAGTTTAAAGCCAAATTCCATTACTGCGGCATTTCATAAATTGTTCATATTGGTGTGACGGGTATTACGGGTGATGAAGTTACCCATCCAAAATAGAGAACTCTAAATATGAAAGTTATAACAGCAAGATCACAAAGTCTATTGCTGCCACCTGAAACATAATTTTAGTGTTCTGGAAATAGTTAAATCACTAACGTGCGTTATAGGCCCATCATGTGACAAGCTGGGAAGGGTTGTGATTCTGTTCGTTATGGACTCAATTTTTGTCTCCCTCCCTCCTGCCCCCCACATTCATATGTTGAAACCCTCATTCTCAGTGTGACAGCATTAGGAAGTAAGGCTTTGGGGAACTAATTAGGCTTAGACTGAGGTCATGAGTGTGGAGCCACCATGATGCAACTACTGTCTTTATAAGAATGGGAAGAAATTAGACCTGTCTCTCTGCCTTGTGAAGATACAGCATGAAAGTAACCATCTGCAAACCAGGGAGAGGGTCCTCACCAGACCCTCAATCTGTGGGCAATCTCATCTTAGACTTCTCAGACTCCATAACTGTGAGAAACAAATGTCTGTTGTTTAAATTATCCAGTCTGTGGTATTTTGTTACAGCAGCCCAAACTGACTGGTTCACTGTTCTTCCCTGGGATGGAGTTCATGGGAATAATCAGTACTTCACTTTGGCTGTGTGTTCAGATTACTGACTCAGCGATGGAGATGTTATCGGCAAAATGCCATTACCTGCACATTTTGGATATTTCTGGTTGTGTCCTGCTTACTGACCAAATGCTCGAGGACCTTCAGATAGGCTGCAAACAACTCCGGATTCTTAAGATGCAATACTGCAGACTTATTTCCATGTAAGTATGAACCTGAAACATGAAAAGCTTTGAGAACTACTTTCTGAGAAAACAGAATACATGACTATGGCATTCGTAATACATAGTGGCTCTCAGAGTTACAAAGTTTCATTTTAGTTTTTGCCTAATTGAAGCCAACATTTTGAGTTGAACCAGGGGAAGCTCTCTTCTAAAACTGTCTTTGTAGTTTCGTATCCCTTTCCCACTGGCCCTTCTACTTCAAGGACTTCTCCTTCCTTGACCATGCAGGTATTCAAAGCCTTAACTCTGCTCTTATAGAACTGTCACTATTCTTTCTTTACTCATCTCTCAAAATACTTCCAGTCAGTCAGTCTCCTCTAGGGGTTAAAAATAATCAGATTAAACCAGTTCACAATTAAGTATAAATTACTAATAGTTAATCCTAAACCACATCTCTCTCAAAGCTATTTGCCTGATGGTTTTTACTCATTTAGGGATTTCCCTTAGGAGCGAGGTCAGAGTAAAGCATTCTGGCTTGACTGCTACAGCCCAAGTGCTGGTTCCCTCAATCTGCAAAATGTTTCCACTGAAATAAAAGTTGGGGAAATGAGCAATATACACAGGTAGAAGTTCTCAGGTGTCTATCCCGTGAGTTTTTTTTTTAAGGTTTATTCATTTTTCAGAGACAGAGAGACAGAGCATGAGTGGGAGAGGGGCAGAGAGAGAGGGAGACACAGAATCCGAAACAGGCTCTAGGCTTCAAGTTGTCAGCACAGAGCCCATCGCGGGGCCCAAACTCACGGATGGTGAGATCACGACCTGAGCTGAAGTCAGACGCTTAACCAACTGAACCACCCAGGCGCCCTATCCCATGAGTTTTTAAATATAAAGCAGTTATTTGCTACATTGTGTAGTTGTTTTCCTATTGACTGAGAGTAAAAATGTGCAGGTAGTTTTAACTGACCTGATGAAGTTACCTGTAAAGTCTTCAAAATGAAAATTCTTGACCAATTCTTGAAGGTCTGGTTCTTTTCTGCAGGCTGGAAAAGTGAATACTAAGAATTAATATTATCAATTATCTAAACACATATATTTCACAGAGGAACTTGCTTAATTAAGTAGCCCTGGCATGAGCAGAACCATGAGATCTGGTCACTTGAAGCCTGAGGAAGACAATGGTTCCTGATCCAAGGCTGTGTATGTTAAATTAAAACGAAAAAAAGAAAAAAGGACACAAAAATTATTACTTGTAAAATAGGCACTGCCACTGGGACCAGTGGGCCCACAGGGAGGACGGCAGCCAACTGAAGTGGGGTCAGAAATAAAGAAGCAGGTCTTTGAAAATTTTTGAAGAGGAGTGGAGACCCAACTCTCCCTAATAAGTCTGGAGATGACTGATATGGGTGTGATTAACTTCATTGAAAGAGGCTATCATGAAATACGGTCCTAGGAGTCCCTGCCAGCCTTGTCATATCATTAAACAGTGAACTTTGGGTAGATGGCAATGAATGAATAACATATTACACAAAGGAGTCTGGCTTCTAATCTTTTGATTGCATTTTGATAATCACTAGTTTGGGGAGATAATATCACTGAACTTCTAATAAGTGGGATTTTAAGTAAGAATGAAGGAGACTTTCTGGCATAGGTCTCTCTGAACCTAATTATGGTATGGATGTTAAAGTGTGATAAATAATGGTGTTTGGTTAGGGAGACCCAAGATATCTAGTAATATCCTAATGCTGCCTGTGACGGGCTCACTCTCCTCTTGCAAGGTGACTAGGTAAAAAAAAATATGTGAAGAAAACCAAACAAGGCAAAGTAAGATTTTACTAGAAGCTAGGCTTAACCACTAAAACTCAATGTGAAACTCTAGTTAACTAGTTGGATCTATGAAAAATTCCTTTACCTAAGCTAGGACAGTGAAGTCATCTTTTGTTTTCTACCACCAAGCCTGGCTGTCCCTACTAGCAAGAAGCAGAGATATGGTCCTAATGCTTAGAAGGGAACTGGCTTGTCTGTCCATCTCATCGTCTAAAAAGGCCAAACTACTTCAGTCTCCCTCATAGCCCCACCCCTGCTAAGCTCCAGCAGGAAAGAGGCCTAGAATGCTCTGATTCTATCTTTGTCTAGCAATAAAGAAGGGCAGTCCCCACAGCAGAGTGGTTTGGAGAGTCCCAGCATTTGGACTAGTAAGGCTCCAAGAGTGCTTGTCTTGACTCCCAACTTTCTAGGACAGGGTACTGTTGTTTAGCCAAGGAGCTCCCAAGATACCTGGTCCTGAAAACTTTGATTAGAGAAGTGGTAAGGCCTGGCCACTTGCAGCTGTTTGGAGTCAGCTCTGAGGACTTTAAAGCAGCTTCCTTCTCCGCTCAAATCCTTGGTGGAATTGGAAATGCTACACAAAATATGTGGCCCCTTCAAGACTCAAGTTCATGATGTTGTTTAATCCTTTGCTTATCTATGTTCACTCTAAAAAAGCATAGTTTTTTGCTCTTACCAGGGCTAATGTGGCTCCCTCAACTGCAGTGGCTATTTTGTCTGGGTGAAATGGAACATTTGGTAGTTGAAATAGAGGAAATTGTTCATACTTGGGAAGACGTTCAATGACTTTGAATCACAAAGTGTTGAACTTCCACACATTTGATTCCATTTGAACATGAAAATATTGTATGATATGGCTCTTAAAATCCAATTACTGCCATCAGAAGAAACATTTCTACGTACAAATCACCCCATACTCAATGGAATCTAAAAATATTGCACAAGCTTTGCAAATCAAAGATGTCTGTCCCACTGAACTGGGGGAGTAGCAAACTTTTGGTCAATGAGAAAATTAGCTACAGCTCTTTTGCAAGAGAGCTTCCAGCATAAGATATGCTATCATTCTACTAACCCCAGAGCCTGAAGTGATCCCAAGTGATCCCAAGAAGTGGTTCCAGAGCATCATGCTGAGATACAATCTAGGCTCCTTTAACTCAAGGAGAAATAAGTAGCAACTATAATCATAAACATGAAAAGAATATCTAGTTGTTTATATTTGAAACAATTGTGTACAACCAACATTTCAACGTATGGCCCTTTCTGGGAAAAACAAGAAAGGCAATACAAAGGAAGAAAAGCATAGTGGGAGAGAGGGAACAAGACCCAAACAATGGTCTCCACAACCCAACAGAGTTTGAACCACAAAGAGGTAAAAGAAACATTAAGTCTATACTTAGCAAAGAATAAAGGGACCTTTCTGACATTTTTGTGTCTGGAGTCTAAAACTTTCAACTCTAAAGAGATGAGTAGAGTCTTAGTGGCCTGGAGAGCCCAAACAGCAATACAGAGATTTCTTGAAGGCCTCTGTAGCAGTTGCTGGCAGCATGGATCATTACACAGGCACCCTGAGAGATCTCTGTTGCTAGGAAATAAAACCCTTATCAGAGTTCTCTTCCCCAGCTCATGGAAAAATCTTTGGGGAAAGACCTTTGTGATCGGGAGCTGTATTAGTATGAAAAAATATATTGCTTAATAATTATTTTTTGCCATGTATTGTGTTAATCCTATTTTATGTTGACTCTCTCATCTAATCCTCATAAATACCCCATTACTATAAAAATGAATAAGGAAATTGGTTTAAACAGTGTAAATAAGACCCAAGGTCAAACAAATAAAAGGCAGAGCTATACTTTGTACCTAAGCATTACCATATTGCTCTTTTGCCTTTAGTGATTCTCAAGCTTTTTTTTTTAAAGTTCAGACATTCAAGGGACTTGATCACTAAGGGGAGACATGTGTCCTATTGTACCCAATCTACTCACTGATGCATAAATTAGAGAGGCTGCTGATTACCAGCATTCTTTGTGTTGTCTCCAACATTCCCCCCTTTTTTTGCCTACTCAAGAAACTAGAAGGAAATGTGCGTGAGGGCAAGCAATATTTTTATAAGAATAACCTTGAATCCCCTATAATATATAAAAACCAAAAATCACCTACAAACTTCAGTACCTTATTATTATTAAACATCTAATGTTTCACAACTGTTTGTGGCATAACATTTTGAAAATCATATCCTAAATTAAAAAAAATTTCTTTAATGTTTATTTTTGAGCAAGTGACAGAGTGCAAGCAGGGGAGGGGCAGAGAGAGAAGGAGACACAGAATCCAAAGCAGGCTCTAGGCTTTGAGCTGTTAGCACAGAGCTGGACATGGGGCTCGAGCCCACACACCACAAGATCATGACCTGAGCCAAAGTTGGACGTTTAACTGACTAAGCCATCCAGGTGCCCCTGAAAATCATGTTCTATATTGATCCAGAGAAACCTGTTTCACCAGGTTAAATGAGTAATGATGACTACCACTTCAGCATACTGGATTCAGTTCCCAAATCATCTCCTACAAGGTCCAAGGACCTGGGACTCACTTAGGTCCAGCCAGAGTGGAAGGTAGTCAAAGGATTCCATATGTACTCTAAGAAATTTAGAGTACACAGTAATTCCTAACTATACATTTTCTTTTCAATATTTCCTAGCTCCCATATATTGACCATACCAGACACCAAACTATTTTAAGAGAGAGAGAGAGAGAGAGAGAGAGACAGAGACAGAGACAGAGTGAGTTCTTTTTGGCAGGAATATTCAGTTTCTAGATTTTCAAGTTCCCTGATACTTTTCAAAAGTGTGTGTGTGCAAACACACAGTAACACAGGATGTGTAAAAAGAGTTCAGAGATATTTGCTGCCAGTCAGCATGCTGGTCTGTTCTCTTGGCCAGGTCCTCAGCCTTAGGAGTCAGTCCATAGGAGGATGCCAAAGGTCTGAGTAAGGTGGTGAGGATAGCTAGTTCATGGGCTAAGGATTTTGTAAAATTTTTTTTTTAATGTTTATTTATTTTTTGAGAGAGAGAGAGAGAGACAGAGTGTGAGCAGGGGAGGGGCGGAGAGAGAGAGGGAGACACAGAATCTGAAGCAGGCTCCAGGCTCCGAGCTGTCAGCACAGAGCCCAACAAGGGGCTTGAACTCACAAGTTGTGAGATCATGACCTGAGCCGAAGTCAGATGCTCAACTGACTGAGCCACCCAGGCTCCCCAATGCGCTAAGGATTTTCTAAAGAGTGGAGAGGACGTGGATTTCAGAATAGTCTATACTGGCATTCAAATCCTAATAATAATCCCAGATTTGTTCCAGGTCAAATTCAGATTTTCAGTTTTTCCCTAGGACTGCTCTTGCTGTGAAAGCATACATGCTTTAAGATAGGCCCTAGAAACACTCTAGACCACAGAAAGCCTTAACCTCCTGACATTTGAGACTAGGGGAAGAAGGGAAGGGAAGGAGGGTTTGAGACCTGATCCTTTGTTCCTCTCTGGTCTGTGAGCATCACCTCCAAAGATCAGGGGACTCTTGGATGTTTAAGTCTCAGTGCAGCTGACTACGGGTAGAACAAGAGCGTTGCTTACCACTAAGAGCTAAGGTAAGGGTGGCAGGGAGCCAAGAAATAAGGGGTCGGCACCTCTAACCCTTATGTTGTTCAAGGGTCAACTGTATTTCAACAAGGGAGGACATTTTTCATAAGAACTTTATCTCCTGTGTTTCAGAAAAGGAAGGAAGATCCCTCCCTGCCCCAGCAACAATGCTCTGACCACTACTTGTAACCAATGAGAAACTGCCACAACCTCAAACTCTTGTTCTTTTCTAATAAACTTTTGTTGAAAACAGCCCTCCCCAATTTCTCCCTGAAACCTAATAAAAGCTGACCTTCCCTTTGTCTTTTTGGACTTGGCTATGGTTTACCATAGCGTGCTTGTCCCGAATTGCAATTCCTCTGCTATACCCAAATAAGCTGGTTTTTTTTTAATCTTAAATAAAATTGCTCTTTGCTCTCCTTAAAGTTAACAGCTTAAGGTAAAATTGGGCACTTTCCTCATAGCTAGTGCTCAATATGCAGCTCATTTTGATCTTGTCCCATCACATTGCATTTAATGAGTACTCTTCCCTATACATTCCCTACTTTTTTTTGTCTATACTGAGGATTCAGTATCCCCAGCTTTCTTGTTATTTTCTCAAACTCCCATTATTTGCCCTAATTATCATCTAATTTATTGTGGCTGGTAGCTGACTAAGGAACTGTATGACCCAATATTTATGTTACCAAGTTTAGCGTTAAGAGTATTTATCCTCTTACCAGTTATCTAGAACTCTCAGAAATTATTGCTCTTCTGAGGCCAAAGGTTACATATACTTTGGTCAATTACTTACAAATCTTTTACTCCCTATTCATCCTTTTTCTAAAGGTCAAGACCATTGTTGCCTATAGTTGTAGTTGCCTTATCATCAGTAGCATCGAATCATTATCAACAACTGTTAACTACAGTATGTATGTCCAGAACGATGCAGTTTGGCAGGCAGAGGGCAAGTGGGTGTTGGAAATAGCAACCTAAGAATGCTTCAAACCTGCAGAAGATAAGAGACCTAAAGGGCTTCCTTGTTGGGATAAACTGCTGAAAGTGTCTTGTTTTGGCTGTCCTTTAAGATACAAAGAAATGGAATACACCCTTAAATAACTTAATACCTTATTAAACAAAAGGAAAACAATAAAGTTTATAATTATAAACAATTAATGCCATGAATTTATGTATTGGAAAGAAATTAATTCTATGATCAACTATTTATTTATTTATTTTTAATATAATTTATTGTCAAATTGGCTTACATATAGCACCCAGTGCTCATCCCAACAAGTGCCCTCCTCAAAGCCCATCACCCATTTTTCCCTCTATGATCAACTTTTTATAGAAGTTCAGAGGAGGAAGAGATTGGGTTTGGGTCTTTACAAGAGGTTGGATTGGTTTGAAGATTTGAAAGATGCATCAAGTTTAAATGGGCAGAGATGGGGTGAAGGGTAAGTAACAGTGAAGCTCTGTTGCCTAGGGTACTGCTTTACATTTGAAACTGATGGTGCCAATACTTTATGCTTCAGATTCCCTTAACATTTGGGATTATGCTACAGTAAGTACTTAAGGGAAAACAATCTCATGGAAAACACCTTTGTAGACATGTCAATCTCAACTCCACAGAATTGGAAAGGGAGAATAATCTTCAGAAGAAAGTGGGGACAGCTAAAGATAGAACACTATTATTACTGCATAATGAAGTCCTACTTATATAAAGATTATATAAGAAGTTTCAAATGTAGGACCACACTTTATAAAAAAATTAAAACATCAACAGAAGGCAAAACTTCATCTTTGATCATAAAGTTATCATTTTCAAATTTGAGAATAAGTATTTCTCTAAAGAGAAGACACTGGTTTGCCAAGTTTTAGTCCATAGGATTGTTGGCTCAGAAGTAGAAATTAGTATAACTTGCTTTTACTCACACTTGTTCTTTTAAACTTGTGTGGTTTGTTTTTAGGTTTTTTTTGCTTTTAGTATTTTGTTTTGTTTTGTTTTATGTGAGTGCAAATATAGAAACCAAAAAGTAATGTGGTAAGAGATGTGAGTGCAAATATAGAAACCAAAAGTAATGTGGTAAGAGATGGAATTAGCAATGCTTTGGTTGTCTCCCTGTTGAGTTTCGTTATAATTATTTTAAGACATCTAAAATTTGGTTCAAATGAAACAGGATTTTAAACAACTGATATATCTCAGCCTTTTACCAATGTCATTGTCCTGCCTGAACTCCTATAGCCACTGAGCACAAATTTAACTCAAAGCATATGGGTAATACCAGCTTCTTTATGTTTTAAGACTCTTGCAAGTAATAACTCAATGTAATCTTTGTCAATAGTGGGCAAAGTATCCCCTTCATGGGCAACTATCATTACTCATTTCTGATCCTATAGAAGTTGCCAATTACTCAATTTTTTTAAAGCACTGGTCTCATTGTTCTACCCTCAAAAAGACATGTTTTCAAGTTAGATTTATTTATTTTTCTGATGCTGTAATATTATGATTTATGAGAAACATATTTTGGTCATTTAGATACCAATATATATTTGGTCTTCCTTCATGGTTCCTGGCTCACAGCTCCCAAAACCCTTGGAATTTCCTGGGCAATAAGGGCAATGGGAACATCTTTTGTTATAATATTTGGTCTCATCCTCAGTTCCTGAAATTAGTTCAGAGACATAAAGATGAAAATAGGTGTCATGTTATTGATAACAAACTCCTTTCCACCACAACTGGGTTTGTGTTAATGAGGTGACTTTTGGAAAGCAGCTTAGGATGGAAGCTGGTTGCTAGGGGAACGAACCAACAACGAGCATGGGGGTGCAAATTTCAGACCCATCCCCTGATTTCTTGGGGAGGGAGAGAGGATGGAGATTAAATCAGTCATCAATGGCCAATGATTTCATCAAGCATGCCTACATAATGAAGTCTCCATAAAATCCTAAAAGGGTTTGGAGAGTTTCTGGGTCAGTGAATGTGTGTAGATTTGGGGAGTGTGCACCTGGAGAGGACATGGAAGCTCCTCACCCTTTCTCCACACCATGTCCTATATATCTCTTCCATATGGCTACTCCTGAGTTATACCCTTTTATAATAAACCAGTGACCCAGTAACCAACATGGTTCTCTGAGTTCTGTGAGCAACTTTAGCAAATTAATCCAATCCAAGAAAGGGGTATGTTGGAACTTCTGATCTATAGCTGGTCAGTCAGAAGCCCAGATGACAACCTGGACTTGCAACTGGGATCTAAAGTGGAGGGCAGTCTAGTGAGCCTGAGCCTTGAACCCGTGGAATCTGATGCTATCTCTGGGTAGACAGTGTCAGAACTGGGTTGCATTGTAGGGCACCCAGCTGCTGTCTATGAATTGCTTGGTGGTGGGGGTGCCTGGGTGGCTCAGTCGGTTAAGCGTCCAACTTTGGCTCAGGTCATGATCTCTTGGTTTGTGAGTTCAAGCCCCAGGTTGGGCTCTGTGCTGACAGCTCAGAGCCTGGAGCCTGCTTTGGATTCTGTGTCTCCCCATCTATCGGCCCCTCCCATGCTCACGCTCTCTCTCTCTCTCTCTCAAAAATAAATAAATGTAAAAAAAAAAAAAAAAAAAAAAAAAAAAAAAAAAAAAAAAAAAAAAGAAAGAAAAAGAATTGCTTGGTGGTGGAAACCCACACTCACCCAATTTAAAATTGGGGTCCAGAACAACCTTTAGATGCCTTCTTTGCTTTCTTCCTTATTTCTTCCTAAGAAAGGCAGAAATGATATTTTAATCATTTTGGTCGCTGACACCTTTTGAGAGTTTGATGAGTCACAAACCCTCTCCTCAGAAAAATGTATATTAGACACAAAACTGCATGAATTTTCAGGGAATTCATGGACCTCCCTGAAGTTCACCCACATATCCAACAGGGATCTGGGGACTCTGGGTTATGAGCTCCTGCTTGGTGGACCTTTGCAGGTTGGCTGGTTAGGATACTCCCTCATCAAAGAAACTGGAAATAAGAGGCAGAGGACTCAAGAACACTAGAGAGTGCCCTCAGTGTTCCTATTCCATGACCATGCAGTTTCCTTACCCATTCACTGTATCTGTTAATCTCTGAACTGGCTGAACCAGAGAGCTATGAGCTACTCAAGCTTTGGGATCCTGAATATTCACATAATTACCCATACCCTCCCTCTCGGTAAGGCAAGATAGCTGTGAAATTCATTCAACTTGTGACAGTTCTTTTAACTCCAAATTTGCTCTAGTTTGAAAATTCTACACCAGTAATTACTTCTGCAACTGCTAATGCTAATCATTGTTATTGCAGGGAGGCAGCAAAGAGAATGTCATCTATAGTTCAGCAGCAGGAATATAACCCTGGTGACCCTCCACTTTGGTTTGGCTATGATTATGAAGGCAAGCCCCTTACAAGACAACATGAGATACCACCACCTAAAAATGTAGAATGGACAGTGACAGAGTCAACACACAGTAGTCAAGAGGAAGTAGTATGACCTTCAGCCTCAAGCAAGAAGAACAAAAAATTCTAGAACTTGGTAACTTCATTTGACGCAAGTATTTTCACTAGCTGGATCTCAACAGTGTAAACAACCAGCAAATCATCTCCTGATTTTTGTTCCAAATAGAAACATTTCTAAATACATTATTAGTTCTTCTAATTGGTTTAATTGTGGTTTTTTTAAAGCTGAATGAAGTATTGCTACACTGTAAATTTTCCACTTAAATTTACCTTAATCAAACTGATAGTTTTGATGAGATTATCAAATCTAAGGTTACAGTCATATAAAACAACCCTGAGAGATGTGATGTTTTTGACAACCATTTAAAAGCTTTTCTTTACAAAAGAAAGCAGAGATAGCCATAGGAGTCAGAGTAGGAGTTTGAGCCAGGGCAATGGCTTTAAGGATCTGTGATGATATATTATAAAAAATATGGGCATACATTTTTAAAGGAAACCAGGCTTTCTTGTTATTTCTAGACATTTAACAATAAGAACTAAATGCCACTTGACCCTGGACCCATCTCAACATTTGACTTAACAGTCAGGGACAAATTAAATAGAAACATGAACTATTTGTGAATAGAAAGGATGTCTCTGCAATGTTTCAGAAAGATCTCTTTTTAATCACATCTGCACTATAGAGGAATTTTAAAATATGCTATGCCAAAAAAGATGCTCTCCCTATTTTATGCTAGGAGATATGGGTTATTAATTGTGTACCTCCTCCTTATTACTAATTTTTAATTTTTTTGAGAGGGAGAGAGTGCATGCCCACAGGTGGGGAAGGGACAGAAGGAGAGGGAAGGAGAGACTCTTAAGCAGGCTCCATGTTCAGTGCAAAGCCCAACGCAGGGCTCCATCTCACAACTGTGAGATCCTTACCTGAGCCGAAATCAAGAGTCGGTTGCCCAACCAACCGAGCCACCACATGCCCACTCCTTATTAGTGTTAATAAGCTTTCATCTATGGATTTTTACCACTCAGGTAAAAGATAATAACTACAGAATTCAAGTGATCACACGGTGCTATATCATTATTTGATATTATGTGACACTCGATAGAGTCCAGGAGCAAGCACAACTCTGTTCTGACTGCCATGAACAAGCTGTGTTGGTAATACTGGATCAGTCTTTTAACCTATTTCCTCTATTACATACCTTTTTTCCCCCCCAGTGTAGAAAATATAGTGTTATATTGGTTTTGGGTGTACAATATAGTGATTCAACAATTCCTTACATTAGTCAGTGCTCATCATGACAAGCATACTCTTAATTCCCTTCCCCTATTTCACCCATCCCCCCAAGCCACTCGCCCTCTGGTAACCATCAGTTTGTTCTCTCTAGTTAAGAGTCTGTTTTTATGTTCATCTCTTTTTTCCTATGTTCATTTATTTTGTTTCTTAAATTCTACATATGAGTGAAATCATGTTGTCTTTCTCTGACTTATTTTGTTTAGCATTATGTTCTCTAGATCTATCTATGTTGTTACAAATGGCAAGATTTCATTCTTTTTATGGCTGAATAATATTCCATTGTATATATCCCATCTTTTTTTTTTTTTAATTCTTTTTAAAGCTCATTTATTTTTGGGAAAGAGAGATGGTACGATCTGGGGAGAGACAGAGAGAGAGGGAGGGATAGAATCCAAAGCAGGGTCCAGGCTTCAAGCTGTCAGCACAGAGCCTGACACAGGGTTCAAACTCACAAACTGCAAGATCATGATCTGAGCTGAAGTCGGTCGCTTAACTGACTGCGCCACTCAGGCGCCCCTACCACATCTTCTTTATCCATCCATCCATCTATCAATGGACATTTGGGTTGCTTCCATAATTTGGCTATTGTAAATAATGCTACAACAAACACAGGGATGTATATATCCTTTAGAATTAGTGTTTTTGTATTCTTTGGGTAGATACCCAGTAGTACGATTACTGGATTGTAGGGTAGTTCTATTTCTAATTTTTTGAGGAACATCTGCACTGTTTTCCAGTGCCTGCACCAATTTGTAAGAGAGTTCCCACTAATAGTGCAAGAGAGTTCCTTTTTCTCTATTTCCTCACCACTGCTTGTAGTTTCTTGTGTTTTTGATGTTAGCCATTCTGACAGGTACAAGGTAATATATCTCATTGTGGTTTTGATTTGCTTTTCCCCCATAATGAGTGATGTGGAGCACTTTTCATGTGCCCGTTGGCCACCTAGATGTCTTGTTTGGAGAAGTGTCTGTTCATATCTTCTGTCCATTTTTTAATTGAATTATTTGTGTTTTTTCAGTGTTGTGTAAGTTCTTGATGTATTTTGCATACTAACCCTTTATTGGATAGTCATTTACAAATACCTTCTCCCATTTAGTAGGTTCACTTTTAGTTTTGTTGGTTATTTCCTTTGTTGTGCAGAGCTTTTTGTTTTGATGAGGTCCCAATAGTTTTTGTTTTTGTTTCCATTGCCTCAGGAGATATATCTAAAAAGGTGCTGTTATTGCCAATGTCAAGGAAATTACTGCCTGTGCTCTCTTCTAGGATTTTTATGGTTTCAGGTCTCACATTTAGGTCCTTAATCTATTATGAATTTATTTTTGTGTATGGTATAAGAAAGTGGTCCAGTTTCATTCTTTTGCATGCAGCTGTCCAGTTTTCCCAGTACCGTTTGTTGAAGACACTCTTTTTCCCATTTCCCATTGCCTCCTTTGTCAAAGATTGACCATATAATCGTGGGTTTATTTCAGGTCTTTCTATTCTGTTCCACTGATCTGTGTCTGTTTTTGTCCCAGTAACATACTGTTTTGATTATATTACAGCTTCATAATATAATTTGAAATCTGGAATTGTGATACTTCCAGTTTTGTTTTTCTTTTTCAAGATTTCTTTAGCTATTCAGGGTCTTTGGTGGTTCCATACAAATTATAGTATTGTTTGTTCTAGTTCTGTGGAAAATGCTGTTGGTTCTTTATCTCTTAAATGAAGTTAATCACGGTCTCTTTGTACCCCCAAAATCGGAAGCAAGGATAAAACTTAAGGTAAAGAATATGAAAATTATTTTGAAAAGTTTAAAATGGGCTGCACAAAGTATGATTATAATACCTTGTATTACCTAAATGTTTTTAATAATTCTCCCCTTATTAAGGTTGATTTTGAAAGAGTTTCTGAAATAGGATAGTATCGTTTAGCTTATAGAATGGTTCCTAGAAGTGGACTGCAAGGGAATCAGCTGAGTAGGAAGCTTTCTGAAATGAGCCAAGAGATTTAAGATGACTTAAGAGGGTAATTTTTAAATCTAGGGATTTTTGGCAGCTGCAGAAAAATTTGCTTCTGATCCCTAAGTGTCTGTTCCCTAAGTATTTCAAGCACACAACTGGAGAGACCTATAAAAGAGGCAACTGCTTTTTAAAGGAATAAAACCTGCATGGGGAAGATCAGAATAAGGAGAAAGACACCCTGTTATATTCTCTAGAAACCAAGTAGGGTGTTTGGTATTTAACTGTCAAAGCTCACTCTAAAACTCTTTTGAGTAAGATCTTTTAAACAAAACAGGAGACACATTTGGAAAGACACATTTTATAACCACACAAATGAAAAAAAAAAAAGGGGGGGGGCAGGTGTTAGACAAAGTGGGCTATAAAGGAGTACCAAGAAGCAGAAGGAACAGGTGGTGAAATCTTCAAGTACTCAGTGCAAAGTACTCAAAATATCCAAAATATTACCTAGGTCTTCAACTCTTAGGCATTTGCCATAGATAGGTGACTGGTCAAGAGAGCAAAATATGGCAGCTTTTCCTTTCTGTTTGGACTTAACTATGTGGTTCATATATGCACAATTCCTTTAAGAATTTTAAGTACAGTTTACTGCTTGTTATGCTCATGACCTTTCCAGCTGTTGTTGACTAATTTCATAAACTTTATTTTTAATCATGAAAATATTTACATAATTGCAGGAGGGTGAAAAGAGATTATAAAAAATTGCCTCATTGCCTCACAGTTTCCTCTACTTAATAATCTAACACACACACACACACACATCACATCAAACATACTAACATGAGTACTGTCCCAATTTCTTTAATAAATTTTGATTTCATGAAGATTGAACTAAAAGGAGACTTTGAGATATTCCACAAAGTTCACTTTTTATTTCATAAATATGAAGTTAAAAATAGACAGGACTCTAAACAAATATTAAGAGACTATTATAAGTCATAATATTTTAAAAGGTTTATTGTAGGCGCACCTAGGTGGCTCAGTCGTTTAAGTGTCTGACTTCGGCTCAGGTCATGATCTCGCAGTTTGCAAGTTTGAGCCCTGCATCGGGCTCACTACTGTCAGCATGGAACCTGCTTCGGACCTTTTATCCCTCTCTCTTTCTGCCCCTCCCCTGCTTGTGCTGTCTCTCTCAAAATAAATACATAAACTTAAAAAAGAAAGAAAGAAAAGGTTTATTATAAACCATTGTTTAAGAGCTGATTTATCCTAACCATAAAAGACATAATCTGAAAGATAGGTCTATTCAGTCTTATGTAAATTGAATGTCCCAGGAGTAGACAGGTAAGCTTGAAAGAAAGAGAATTTATAAAATAACTTTATACAGTATACCATTGTAAAAATAAAAATCAATCTTCATACAGCAGGCTGTAAAACAGTTGAATGTTTCTCCTCTTCCCAATGCATTGTATCTTAGATTATGCAAAAAGAATTAAGAATCAGTAGCAAATGCATCATTTTTATGATGTATTTTATTGACAGCTTACATTTACATTGATGTCATAAGAAATACTAACATGTTACAAGAGAGCTAAAGTGAAAGAAATGCTTCTTTACAAGATAACTGCCGCCCATGACCTATGCTTTGGTATAATCTTCTCTTCTTGAGTATAAATGGAAATTGTAAATATGATGAGCGAGCACTCCCATGATTATGTTACATCACAGAGCAAAACAAAGATTATTCTGGGAAGGCCTGATCTAATCAAGCAAACCCTTTAAAAGCAGTTTCTCCAGCTGGTTGCAGAAGAGGTCGGATATTCAGTGCACGAGAAGCAAGTGCTGGCTTTAAGATGGAGAGGGCCACATGAGAAGGAATGCAAGTGGCCTCTAGAAGCTTAGAGTGATTACCGATGGACAGCAAGAAAAGAGAGACCTCAGTCATAGTCACAAGGAAATGGATTTTGCCAACAATATGAATAAGCTTGAAAGTAGATTTTTTTCCCCCCAGAGGATCTAGATGAGAACTTGAGTCCAGCCTTGTGCACCTTGAGCAGAGAGTCTAGCTATGCAGAGCTCTTGACCTACAGAACTGTGAGCTAGTAAGTAAATGCTATTTTAAGTTGGTTACATTTATGGTAATTTATTGCAGGGCAACAAAAAATGAATACAATAGCTAAGTACAAATTTTGAAAAGGTCTCCACAAGACAATTCACTAGTATTCATTCTAAATTGTTTTCAACATTTATATTAACTGTGGTATTTGCATTTTTGTAGTCTTAGATCTGCTGATCATTGTTAAAAATTATAAATACAATTCAAACCATTCTTAGTCCTGCAGTTTCAGGGACTGAAACCAGCTTTGACTTCTAAAATTTATAGTGCCTTTTGGGGCATCGGCCTTAATCCATTTTTCATGTTTGCTTGCTTGATTCATGAGCCCTGAAACACAAAATTGCATAAAGTTATATCTTCATTGACAAGAACAATATCCGACTATGACATAGATCCTAACAACACATCTCTGAAACTGAAAAACACTTTGGAACAGCAAAAATCTTAGTAAAGACAGTGTGAGTCGGGAAAGAGTTGCAGTTACCTGGGCTTATTCCCTCCTTTCATTTTCTCAGAACAACTGAAAGGGAAGCTACTCTTTTTTCATCTGTATTTTTTTGTGTGTGCAGGTTTTAAAAAGAGGTTTATTTAAGTACAATTGATAAAAGACATATGCAATACAGTAAACTTTGGAATATGTAAAAATCTGTGGAGCCATCTCTTAAATCAAAATAATGAATACATCACTCGTAAAAGTTGACTTTTGCTCTTCTGTCATCTTCTTGTCCCTTCTGTCACCTCCAGACACTCCCCCATGAAACCCCCATCACTGATCTACCCCCCATCACTGGTCTACTTTGTGTCACTATGGATTAGTTGCATTTTCTAAAATTTTAATAAATGGAATCATACAGTATGCATTTTATTCTTTTTTAAAAATCTAGGCTCTTTCACTCAGCATAATCATTTTGAAGTTCATTCACACTGTACTAGGGATGAGATCATTTCCTGACACGTACGAATGCTCATGGGCACCCTGTGCAGATCCCTCCTCTCTGGAATTCTTTCTTCTGAAATCTAGCAGCCCTAGTCTCCCGAGATGCTCAGCTCAGTCTCCACTTCAGGAGTCTGCTGGGCTCTGTGTTACTGCTCCCTGCCCTCAAAGTCATATGCTGTAGCAGTGATACAGCTCACCTGGTTTATTTCTCATCTCTGTTCTTTTAGTTCTAGGTTTTTTTCTCTTTCAATCAAGGTAATGAAGGTGATATATCTCGTCTAAAGCTCCAGTGCAACTCTGAATTTAAGAGACCAATCAAAACTGTACTGAGGAGGACTGGCTGCCCCACATCAACACGCCCTGTTCGCGGTTGACCCACCCAGGAGTCAAAGTGGTTGGAAGCCTTTATGGCTGAAAGGAATGCCAGAAAGTGCGTGAGTGCAGCCGCTGGGGCATTTTATTCTGTTTTCCAATTCCTGGGGTCTGGAGGCCGTGACGTATGCTCTGGGGTAGGGACTACCGGTGTGACAAAGGGTTTCTGAATGTCTTCCAACGTTGACAGTTTCTCTTCACAATTCCCAGGAGTGTTTTGGGGCACATCTTTCTGTAAGAGTTTCGAGAAGGAAGGGAGCTGTTGGCTACGCCACTGGGTCAAGTGATTGACACCCGGGTGGGCTGCCTGGGCCACCACAGCTTAGGCCCGAGTGGGGACAGGGCTCAACTGGCAATTGAGAGAAGGACTAAATAAATTAGTTTTGAGAGCGTTGGTCATTTTAAAATTAATGACTTTCGGATTCTTCTCTCTGCACATGGTTCAGTTTACTCTCTGTGTGAGTTATGTATATGCTGATTTTCCTAAGAGCAGCTCTAACCAAGAAGTGGAAATTATTTGAAGCAAAGCCTGGGTAGTCTTATGGTTGAAGGTTGCTGAGGCCCAGGAAGACTCATTAAGTTACTTGCCCAAGGTCACAGGCTCTTTGTAGTAGCCAGTAGCACAACCTTCAGAATTTCAGTCTCCTCCCCACATGAAGAAATACTACCAACTTAGACCCATGGGGAAACTAGAAGAAATTAAGTGATTAAGATATTAAGCTCCTCCAAATCCTCACCCAATTCTCTGATCTTAGGGCCCTGTTTTATCATGACAAAACATGAAATACTTTAAAATCGTTGGCACCATTTCTTATCTCTGAGTTGTAATTTTATAATGCTCTTTTCCAACTTCAGTGATGAAATGTATTAGTAAATAAGTATCACTGAGCTAGTATTATGAGTTGAGGTCTTATTATCCCCATTGCAACAGAAATCCGATTGTGACATTTCCATCTCCAAGCCCTGGTAGCAAGATAAAAAAACATCTTAATATCGACCTCATACAGAGTTCTGAAGCCATTTAATATGAAAGTAAGCTTTTTAGTGTTTCAAACTACTGTTTATGTTATAAAACCTCAGTCAATTCAGTTAGGATTGATGGGCCTAAGGAGGTGTTAACGTTCATCCCAAATTACCTTAAAATGGTAGGCCTCTAAGGGAGAGGACTTGCTCAAGCCCTCACTCTCGGCCACCTGCCTCCCAGGGAGGAGGAACTGCTATGGATGTGTGAGAACACACTAGACTGTGTTCTAGGTGTCACTGTGCTATGAAAGATTGTACCAGTGAGTTTGGTTCTCCTCTCGTACTTCTCTTGCAAGTTGCCTAAGTGTAAGGGTGATTTCCTATTCTTCTTTGCCTTCAGACAGGTATAATATCTACCCATTCTGAACATATACATAAATAGCTCTTTTCAACTCACTTCTATACTCTGGCGTCTAGGTAGTGCTCAACCAAGCCAAATACCAGCTTTAGGGGGCAAAAATCTCTTGCCACCTACCTCTGTGATAACATACCCTTTGGTGCTGACACTTTTTTTGTGTGAAGCTTTTTAGGCTTAGTTTAGGGAAATGTGTATCAGCTGTTTGAGTCAAATCTAACAGAACCCAATAAATAATAATATTGCACTGCCAAAAAAAACAAAACAAAACAAAACAAAGTATACTGAGGAGAGTTGTGAATACACCGTCTCAATTCCTTATATACATTTTCTTTGCTGAATCCAAACACACCAATCAGGAAACAATTTTTCTTTAGCATAGTTTTTCCCTTGTTAGTACCATATGATATTCCTAGCTGATGAAAAGGTGCTTTACACCATCCAATCTTTGTGTCGAGTGCTTTTCTGATACAAATTCTTCTCTGAATTCTTGCCTCCCCTTTAATCTGAGCCATAATCTTATCTATCAGTGTTTTAGAGTTCATTGCATCTTTCAAGTTCCTCTGGAGTTTTTCCTTCCACTTCTCTTGCTATATTTCTTTTTTATTTTTTTAAATGTTTGTTTGTTTAGTTTTAAGAGAGGGAGAGAGACAGAGCATGAGCAGGGGAGGGGCAGAGAGAGAGGGAGACACAGAATCTGAAGCAGGCTTCAGGCTCTGAGCTGTTAGCACAGAGCCCAAGGTGGGGCTTGAATCCATGAACTGCAAGATCATGACCTGAGCTGAAGTTGGAACGCTTAACTGACTGAGCCACCAGGCACCCCTTAATGTGTGTGTGTGTGTGGGGGGGGGGCAGGGGAGGGAATCCCAAGCAGGCTCCACACTCAGCACACAGTCTGACGCAGGGCTTGGTCCTGGGAACCCATGAGATCATGACCTGAGCTGAAATCAAAGAGTCGGACACTTAACTGACTGAGCCACCCAGGTACCCCTCTCTTGCTAGATTTCAATATCATCATGACTCTACTTCTCATTAAACTGATTAAAATCTCATTCCATTTGGTAAATCCCTGTGTTAGATGTGTTAAAAACAAAACAAAACAAAACAAAACACCACAGGCCCAAATGGTGTCTCTTAGACCAAGTTCCCAAACAGATGCTTAATACATAATCTAATTGCAGTTTCAAACTCCCACAGAAACGTAGTCTTCGCTGGTCAGTCAGGAATTTTTAGTCAGTGGCAACGAGACTCTGCCACATGGGACCTCTTCATTCCCCAGAGAATGATGAGGTTCTTTGCATGGGAAGACCCCCTTTTTCCCCCCCTAGAAAGGGCCTAGCCTGGAATAATCCTTTTCTTTTGCTAACAACTTTCTTGGTCCCATCCTCCTTCTGGAAAAACCTTCCATTTTGTACAACACCTCGGTGTGCCCCTCTACTTGCTAGGTGAGGTGCTGCCCAAATCATTAATTGTTTAATAAAGCCAATTAGGTCTTCAAATTTACCTGGCTGAATTTTGTTATTTCACAGAAGCTTCTGTTTTTCCTCCAACTTGTCATTAAGGAGTTCAGCTATGTCAATTTTAATGTTCTTCTTTTTGTGCCTGTGCTGCATTTGGTATGTCAGGATTTTGAGGTACCTGCACGCAATAGGTTTTCTATAATACATAATTTTTTTCCTAGTAATTCAAATAAATATAGAGGAAAGAATTGGAAATCTTGAACATTGGTTGCTCTAAGTTTATTATTTTCTTACACTCTTTGGCATCAATAGTAAATGATAGTAAGGTTTTCCCAAATACCTAAGATCTTTTCCTTAATATGTTATGTGTCACCTCCCCAATTATGCTTTTCTTGCTTATGGAAAGAGAAGCCAATCTACTCATTTTCTTTTGCAACAGTAGAAGAGGCTACTGTCGGGGAGAAAGGCCTTCCTCTGCCTTATGGTCCTTTTAACTGGACTTAGAATCAAACGGACATGAGACATCTACAGGAGAAAATCAAATTTAGTATGTGTGCATATGGAGAATCCCCACACACATGATTCCAAAGACAGTGAGGCAACTTGAAGCTTATATGAGCTAAGGAGAGGGGTGGGGCCTGAAGATACAAAGGGGAGAAGCTCATTAGCAGGAAAGTGAAAGGAGATGCTTTGAAAAACAAAAGTTGCCCCGTTATGCAGGTAAGTTTCTTAGGTAAAGGGGAGTCTCTGTTAATAGCTCTCTTGCTGGCACAGGCTTTCCTTTCCAAAGTAAATTTATGCAGTTGAGGGAGAGGCAGACAACTTTTACTGCATCTACTGGGTTTTGATTACTTATAACTTGAAATCATCTTTATGCCAAAGTGGCCTTTCCTGGGGCAGCCTGCCCTTGGCCCTCATACTGCACACAGTGCTACTGCTACTAACAAAATGAACACACAGCAATTTTAGGCTAGAGACAATATTCAAAAAACAAGACAGTTTATATTTATACAATTCCACTTGGGTTGCTTGAAAATAGCTTTCTCTATCTTGCCTATAAGTAATTTATTGAAAGCTTTTCATACTCTGGCCTGAATCTGTGGAGACTCCATTCTAATTTGTAAAGTTTATAAATTCCTTCCTACAAAAATCTTGCAACACACACTGGAACTTGTGGTTG